AACGCCGGTTCGCCCAGGTCACCAGAAGCCGCAGATGCTCGCACCGTCCACGCCGCCGTCAAAGTCTACTCCTCTCCCTTCGTCCATGATGTCCACCCCTGGCGGTGGTGGGTCCCACTACACAGGCTTTGGACTGGCGACACCCTCGACAAACTTGAACTTTGCCGAGTTCCTGAATATGTCGCCGAGCCCTGCGCAGGCCAACGCATCGTGGAACCGCACACCTGTCGCAACCCGAACACCTGCAGCCGTCCGAGAAGCACGACGTCATATCAATTTCGACAACATCGTCCCTCCCACTGGTGACGCTGCACATATGCGTGCTCACATTGGGAAGATGGATGGCCTTAGCATGGAACTCGGTGGTGAACTTATATCGTAATTGTCAGCGCCGGCCCTTTCACACTCATCATGACATATACCCCTAGCGACCGCTTGGGCACGACAAAACGATAACGACAACGACAGTGAGCGCATTCGACGGATTACTCAACCGCTACTGGATATGCAGCCGCTGCCGACTGTTGTCAATTTCTCCTCTTGATTTAGTCTTTTTTTTTGAAAAGCATGGCGTTTATGGCGGTTTGGTGAGACCCTACCTGGTCCTGGGTTTGGACAGGACATGTCGATTTCTACATACCTCATGCATTACTGCATACGTTTGCTTCATTTTGTCCTACTCTTCTTCATGTCGCACAATTACCCTTTTGGCGGCTGTTTGCACTAGCGACTGCAGAAGCGCTTTGTACGAGCACCTGACCAACACCTTTCTACTGGAGCATCTGTTCAGCATCTGTATTTTAATTCACTTTGGAGTTTTTCTTTGTTTGCTATCGGCACGGCTTAGCCAAGTACCGTCTCGGCATGTTATAGACCAAGTCCGGAGGCTTAGCAGGGCACTGGACAAAATGGAACTGCATCTTCCCGTACAGCCATCTAGGCGAAACAGTAAGACTCAATCCAAAACTGCGTGTAATTTTTTTCCTTGTAGACTTCATGATTCCTAAATGATGCAGCTTTTGTGCAGTGACCCACCACGAATGAACACGATGAGTGCAATTTACCAAATTGCCCCGAAAAAAGGACGCTACATCGTGTTATATAATTTCCGATGATGTCAGCTGATAGCAATAAAGAGCTCTCACGCCTCATTTTGTCCCTCTTGTCTAGTAGAAGAAAGCACATCCCCAGCCGCCTGCTTTTGTTGGATGTCTGCCGCACCCCAGCCACCCCTCCTCACTCAACCCACCAACGCACCACACACACTCCCTTACCAACCAACACTACATACAAGCAAGGAACAATATACTCCGAGTCGAACCGAGCTTATCACAGCAAGTGTGTAAACGACGCGCGCGGATGCAAGTGCCGCCGAGGCGTTTCCGCGCAAAGCATTGTTACATGAGTAGTTGACACGCCAATCCCACCTTGATCATCAAATCTAATTGGCTCTGGTATTCCCCCCTCCATACCCTCAAACTCTCCCAGATAGATCGAAAAGAGACGAAGAAGAAGAAAAGGGCAAGGAAACCGATTGATTGACCGGGGACCTTGCCTTGATCTCATCGATGCCCAGGCCGGCTCGATCCGCGGCCTGGGGAGGG